GCGTTTTGGGTGGGGGCTGCCGGCCTGGGCTCTGGGAGCTGGCCATCTCCCTTCTCGGATTATGGATTCTGTGAGTGCCCACGTGGGTCTCCTGGGCACTTAGCATTTCTCCCAGGGTCAGCTGTCCCCCCTGGACCCACCTTGGAGCCCACTCTGCCTGCGCACGGGGCAGGTCTGACAGCCGGGACTTAATGGGGTTTTCTTTCTTTCCTCAGGTGTTGGGAAAACAACTTTGATCCAGAAAGCCAGCGAGGTTTTAAAGTCCTCTGGGGTGCCCGTCGATGGGTTCTACACGCAAGAAGTCAGGCAAGGAGGCAGGAGGATAGGATTCGACGTGGTCACGTTGTCCGGCCTGCGGGGACCCCTGTCTAGAGTGGGGTACTGAGATTTCTCCTTTCGGGTGGTGCGTTCCCCCTGGGCACAGCGTTGAGCCACGTGCTCTCTTCTGCCTGGAAGAATCTCAGGCCCTTGGAATTCTTAGAGCAGTGATGGCGAACCTTTTGAGCTCGGCGTGTCAGCATTTTGAAAAACCCTAACTTAACTCTGGTGCCGTGTCACACATAGAAATTTTTTGATATTTGCAACCATAGTAAAACAAAGGCTTATATTTTTGATATTTATTTTATATATTTAAATGCCATTTAACAAAGAAAAATCAACCAAAAAAATGAGTTCGGTGTCACCTCTGATACGCGTGTCATAGGTTCGCCATCACTGTCTTGGAGCAAGAAAACAGGTTGAAGTCATCGTCTGAAAAACCTCTGACACGCGTGTCATAGGTTCGCCGTCACTGTCTTGGAGCAAGAAAACAGGTTGAAGTCATCCTCTGAAAAACAGAGTATAAAAATACCGTCTTTCACTCAGAGCTTATTCCACGGGCTGATAAGCTCTTCTCGCGTGTGATCCTAGTCCTGTCTCTCGCGATGCTTTCCTGGGCTGGTCGGTGCAGCAGCTCCCCAGAGCGTGGCTGATGGTGGGCACCCTTAGTGGTAGCCCTGCTCTCAGCTCTGCACACTTCTGCTGTTTGTTTGTTTTGAGAGAGAGAGAGAGAGAGAGAAAAGAAACATCGATCGGTTGCCTCCTGGACACACCCTGACCAGGGATCAAACCCGAAACCTAGGTGTGTGCTGTGCCCTGACTAGGAATTGAACCCCCAGCCTTCTGATGCACGAGACGATGCTCCCATCCCTGAGCCACCTGGCCAGGGCTGGGGGTGGGTTGAAGGATGACGTGGCCTCCGTGGAAGGTCAGGGGTCAGTGGGGTAGCCAACCACCAGAAACGCGTGCAGGGGCCTTTCTGCAGGACTCACTGTCTCCCCAGGGCAGGGCCTCCGCCTGGAACACGGGAGTGCCGGGTCGGGCAGTACGTGGTGGACCTGACGTCCTTCGAGCAGCTGGCGCTTCCTGTCTTGGACGTGAGTGTGGGTTCTGCTCCTGGAACCCGTCTGTTGCGGTGCATTGTGGGAACTGCTGGCCCTGGACCGCAGGGCCTTTGCGCTTAAGGGGAGGCCCGTTTAGCATTTTACAGTTTAAAAGTCTTGCCCTGGCCGGTTTGCTCAGTGGATAGAGTCTCAGCCTGCGGACTAAAGGGTCCAGGGTTCGATTCCAGCCAAGGGCGCATGCCCAGGTTGTGGGCTCGATCCCCAGTAGGGGGCGTGCAAGAGGCAGCCGGTCAGTGGTTCTCTCTCGTCATTGATGTTTCTCTCTCTCTCTCCCTCTCCTTTCCTCTCTGAAATCAATAAGGAAATATATTTTTTTTAAAAAGTCTTCAAGCGATTGAGCCTTGATAAGGATCCGCCACATAATTTGCTGTCACTCTGAAGTATAAGTGGATTCCTTGTCACGGAAATTCAGCCCTGGCCCTGCGTGGGCGGGGGCTACACAAGGAGGGGAACCTGAGGAGCTGGGGGTCATTGGGACTCCTGGCCCCACCCTTGTTCCTAGTGGGTTTTTTTAAAATATAGTTTTATTTCAGAGAGGGAGAGAGAGATAGAAACATCCATGATGAGAGAGAATCATGGATCGGCTGCCTCCTGCACAACCCCCACTGGGGATGGAGCCCGCAACCCAGGCAGGTGCCCTGACCGGGAATCGAACTGTGACCTCCTGGTTCATAGGTCGATGCTCAACCACGAAGCCACGCCGGCCGGGCCCTAGGGGGTTTTTCAAGGACACGGAGTAAAGTCATCGGAAAGGGGATCCAGGATTTAAAGGACACAACCCTGCTCACTTCTTTCTTTTAACCAAGACGCCTTTTCTTTTAATTTTTCCTTCTTTCCACCGACCCTCATGTTACAGATTATGAGACGCACAGGCCTCTGCCTGCAGCACCTGCCTCCCCCCGCAGACAGGGAGTCTCGTGCCACTCAAAATCGCAAAAGAAGAGGCAGGATTATTAAGAAGGACTGAGGCCTGTCTCATGGCTCTAAGCCTCAGGCACTGGGCCCTGCCTGCTTCCTGGGTGTTTATAAACACACAGTGTGGCTCCTCCTGAACTGTCCTGGGGGAGGACCAATTGCCCGGAGAACCAGGAGGGTCAGGAGTTGGGTTTTCTGGGCGGGACAGTCTCCAGGGCAGAGGAATGTGCAGCGACCTGTCCGGGGTGGACTTGTGAGGTGCTCTGTCTTCCTGGCATAGCTCACTCCCTGGTGTGACGTTGCTGCGGCCCTGCCTAATGGGCCTTGGGTCCCAGACCGTCTGTCCTCCCAGGCAGGTGTCCGCAGCAGCCCGGGGCCGAGAGTGTGCGTCATCGACGAGGTGGGGAAGATGGAGCTCTTCAGCCAGCCCTTCGTGCAGGCTGTTCGGCAGACCCTGGCCGCCCCGGGGACCGTGGTCCTGGGCACCATCCCGGTCCCGAAAGGGAAACCGCTGGCCTTCGTGGAGGAAATCCGGAGCCGGGCGGACGTGCAGGTGTTCAGTGTGAGTACCGACGCCGCCGTGGCTGCGGGCGGAGTGAGTGGGTGACCTGAAACCGCAGTGGCTCTCAGTAGACCGTGGCTTTGAATGGCCCCCCTTTTAGCTCTAGGACAGAGTGTGGGTGAGTCTCCCTTTCGAGGAATTGACCTCCACTCCCTGTGCAGACAGACCTCAGGGAGGCCTCGGGGCCCAGCTGGCCCTCCCGACTGAGGCTGGTTCTCAGACGGAGCAACCTGGATGCTGAGGAGCCTGTACCTCACCCCTGGCTCATCCTTGGTCCCTGGGTCCTACTTCATAGCAGACCTCACCCCTCCCGGCCTTGCGGGCTCTTGTTCTAGAACAAGCATGTCAAACTCAAAGGCTAACAGGCCAAACAAACAAGGCAGGTGGCCCGTGGGCTGCGAGTTTGACATGCTCGTTCTAGTCCAGTGGTCGGCAAACTCATTAGTCAACAGAGCCAAATATCAACAGTACTTCTTCAAAATAGACTCGCCCAGGCCGGAAACCGACTTCTGCGCATGGGCCACGAAGTTTCAATCCCACTGTACGCGCGCCCGCACGTGGTATTTTGTGCAAGAGCCACACTCAAGGGGCCAAAGAACCGCATGTGGCTCTGGAGCCGCAGTTTGCCGACCACAGTTCTAGATCATTGACTGCGGGGGGCAGGAAGGGAGGAAAGGGGCTCTGAGGCCTCCTGCTTCCCCCCGCAGGTCACCAAGGAGAACAGGAACCACCTCTTGCCGGATATTGTGAGGTGCGTGCAGAGCGGCGGGAAGTGAGTGATGGGCTCGCCCGCCCGTCCAGCAGCCCGGCCCGAGGGCGCCGGGCCCCCCCGGCTCTGAACCCGTGTGGGTTTCCGCAGGGAAAGCCTGCAGCTGTTTTCCATAAAGGGTTCAGAGGGCGAGTCAGCCTGCACGCTGGCCCGCCGCAGGACTGGTCACGGCCGTGCGTATCCGCGGCTGTTTATTTCCTCTGCGGTTGTGCGTCTGATTGGGGTAAATGCTGAGATGAGGAAGGTTCCGGCACCAGATGGGATCCGCCCCAGTGAAGCTGATGAATGTGTGGGGGGTGGGGGGGTTCCTGCCTCATCTGTCCTGCACTTCGCGGACGTGAAGCCCTCCCAGGTGCAGCCCTCCCAGGTGCGTCCGCATCTGGTGCCGCCTGAAGCGTGAAGTTACTTGATTTTTAAAAAGGATTATTTTGAAAGAAGAGCCTTTCGGGCCCTCCCCGCACCATCTTTTACTGTTTCCTTGTTTGCTTATTACTTTATAAAATAAAAGGAGCGTGATGGTTGCAGACACGTGGGTTCTCGTGTGGAGGGATGCACAGCGTGGAGCGGCCCCTTGGCGCTCGGTAGGTGTGGGCGGGGTCGGGTCCGACCAGGGCTCCACCTTGGCCAGGTCCTTAAACCCTCTGTGCCTGTTTCCTGCCCAGAAAACGGGGAAATGTGTCGTCACGGGGAGGCTGTGGCCACCGTGGAAGGGACCCCATTACCCCCGCTTGGTCCCGGGGAGCCCAGGCCAGGCTGTCAGATGGCGGTGGAGAGAGAGGGACAGCCAGCAGCCGGCATGGAGGAGCCACTGGTCCCGGAATCGGAGGGTAGCACTGCCCTGGTGTGGTCGGTGCACTGGTGTGATTCAGTTTCGTGTGTTTTGGTGATTTCTGGTGAAGATCTAGGAATTTCTGGGACTTTCTTAGCAATTAGCATTAGCTACGAACTTGGCCGGCGTCAGTGCCGGGTGTGCAGGGAGGAACTGTGTACGACTGTTTCCAACTTCAGTGTTTCTAAGTACTGCTCTTCCGAAGGGAGGTTCCCGGGTGAGTGATGGGTCCCTCAGGACAGGAAGCCGGCCTGCAGCTCGGCCCTGGGACACAGGGTGGCAAAAGTCCCAGGATTGGCCCAAATGCTCCTCCCAGGAAAGGACTCATTTTAAGAAATGACAAGTTTCGGCAGAACGCAAAGAACTGGAAACAGCAGTCACTACAAACCCTTTAATTCCAAAAAAACAGGAGTGTGCGGGTGGCCCGGGACCCGGTGGGGACTCGTTGGCCTGGGGAGCAAGCGTGTGTCCCGAGAGGACCCGGCCTGGCTGCCTTTGGGACGCCGCTCTGACGTGTGGGGCACCGCGTCCCTCCCCGACGGTGTCCGTCCACCTGGACTGCACGTCCAGCTCTCACTCGGGGATGTGGGCTGTCACACGGGGCCGTGGACATGGCTGCATGCACGTCACCATTCACACGCACCTAACATCGGCGTGAACGCTACAGAGCAGTGAGTGTCTGTGCGTGGACGTGACCTCAGCACCTGGGCCCATGGCTGGTGAGGTGGGGTGGCCACTAGCTGCTCTTTCTTGGTGACGGGAGTGTGCAAAGCTCAGCTGGTCAGCATGCAGGTGTCGGATTTCCATCGGGCTGGGAGTCGCAGATGGGCTCTTGGCTTTTGTTTGAATCCAAATTCTGGAGATTTTTGTGCCTCATTCCTGCTGTGGGGCAGTGGGCGGGAGGCCCGGTCCACTGGTTTTGTCCATCGTGTGAGATATTGTTCAAGAACCTGAGATACAGTCAGTCAGTTTCCACACCAGCTGTCACTCGCCCACGGGGAGGGCCCACGTGGATGACAGTGTTGGCTGCTTTTGGTTTTGGGGGGAGCAGAAGGGAGAGGAAGGGAGGCAGAGCCGTGGGGGACTCGGTCTCTCCCACTGCGGGGCCCCTCCTGGCCCTACTGCTCGTCCGAGGCGCTGTGCTGGGAGGCCGTGTCGTCCAGGCCCATGTCCTCCTGGCTGGCCCTCCTGCAGA